GAGCACGGACGAGTGGGCCTGGACAACGCGCTCTGCACCGGAGGGAGAATGGAGGAGTCTGGCCCCGCCCGGCCCCGGGGACTCCCCCCTTGGCTGCCGAGACCGGGAAGCCTGGCATGCCTGCCGCGCCTAGGGATGAGGTGCCCCGCCAAGGACCGGCCTGCGTGCTCTTTCGCCCTCTCCCCAGGCGGGGGCCAATTTGCGCCTGGTGCCGCCCGGGGGGGGGGGGCAGCCCGCCCGAGCTGAACACCGAGCCCAAGTCAGGAGGCGAGAAATTCCCACACACACGCACGCACGAACCGCATTCCACAGCCAGCCGAGAGAAGCCGTCTCGGACCGGCCATACGGGCTCGCAGGAAACCGCAAGGCGTCGCGTTTCTCCCCCCCCCCCCGCCCGGGACCGCAGACGGGCAGAGGGGCGGACGAGGGACCCGGCGGAGGACTCTCCCACTCCCCCCCCCCCCCCCGGCACGCATGCCGGGAATGCCTGCACCCCAGCACCATCTTGCACGTGTGAGCTGCTGTAGCAGATTGTGATCTGACTGCGGCCACTCAAACCCGCTTGAAAAACCGAGGTGTCAAACTCCCCCCGGCCTCTCCCCCTGCGGGCCGTTGTTGTCCGACCACCCCACCTCGGGGAGGGTGCTTAATAGGCCAAAGGGTGGCGGAGGGGGGAAGAGGGGGGGCGTGGCTGTGTCTTCGCAGAGGGGCGGGGTTGCTCCCCCTCCTGGCCGCATCCGCGCCCGATGCTTGTGGAGCTTATTTATTATTCTATTTTTGAAGATCTGCATCATCCCGAGGAGCGCATGTGATGCGCGGAATCTAGCGCGAGAATGAGGGCCCCCACCGCGTCCAATGTGAAAGTCTCCCCGAGGCGAGTGATGCAGCTGGCCGGAGGCGCTGGGGCATCCCATCGGGAAGCGGCCGACCCGCCATCGGCACTCGCCGGCAGCACAAAGCACCAGGACGGCTGCCGAAGAGCAGCTGCGGCCAGGCGGAGGCGGAGGCTGGCAGCTCGCGAGGCTGCGGCCTGCCCTCCCGGCCCGGCCGGGCGCTCCACCGCCTGGAGGCCAGTGTCCGCCAGATGACCGAGGGAAGGCAGCAACAAATCGGGCCAGACACCGACGCAGGCGCTCGGTGGGTCGGGCGGGGTCGCGAGCAGATCGAGCGCCCGTTCACCGGCGCACAAGGCCAATGCATCGCGCACACGCCCGAGCCACACCATCAGCACCCCGACACAGGGATCATCCCCAGGAGCGGGGCCCTGGCCGGCACGCGATCCCAGCAGGATTACTCGAAGGTGGGCATCCAGGGCCGTGGCCATCTCATTGAGACGGTGGCCGAAGTCCCGCAGCGCCGCATCCACCGCGGGCAATCCCGCAAAGAGGCTTGTTCCCGGGGGGGAAACGGGGCCAGCCTGGTCCCGGGCCCGGCGGAGATCCCCCACAGCCGCCACCCAAAATTGCTGCTCGAGGCTGACACCCAGCGCGGCGTGGGTCGCCATGGGCTGGATGGCCGGGGCATGTGCCAGCAAGCGGGCCGCGCTGGCCCCGATCGCCAGGAAACCGGCCACAGCCAGGCTCAATAACACACTCACAAGACGTGTGCCGGGCCTCATAACTCCATCGGGCAAGGCGGGAGCAACACAGGGAGGCGAGGGAGGCGAGGGAGGCGAGGGAGGCGAGGGAGGGGGGGGATGAAGGGCCAGAGGAAGAGGGAAAGGGCCAGGGGGGGTAGGGGGGAGGCAAGAGAAAAACAGGTACCCGCCTGCCCCGGCCCGAGACCCGACACAAGAGTCCCTTTTTACATTGCTCACACCCGGCCGCCCCCCGGTGGGGGACCAGCAAGCGGACGGCAGACCGGCAGATCAGGGAGCGCGAGTCAGACTCGCGCATGTCATGTGACAACACCATGTGCCCTGACCAAGAGCGGCCCTGTTGCTCTTCCCTCTGGCTGGTCTCGCGCGCGCTCCCCCCCCCCCCCCCCCCGCCCCCGTGCCCCTAGTGGCCTGCACCATGGTGCGCGTATGCTCACGCATATACCCCCACGCCCCGGGCCCTCCCACAGGCGCGCCTGGTACACACACACACACACACACACACACACACACACACACACACACACACACACACACACACAGACACACACAATGCAGACCCATCTGCATCCGCGCAGATTCACACGCACCCTGCCGCCCCACTTGGCGAGAAGAATCGTTACAACTGTGTGGCCCGCTGACCTAGGCCGGGCCCGGGCGGGCTCTAGAGACCTCTTGCCCCCGCGACGCCCTATTTTCGGGGCCCCTCCCCCGGTGGTACTGGCGCCATATCGCGTCGCGTTGTCCGCTCCGCTTGTCCCCCCCCCCC